AGCAAAATTGATTTGCTCAGGGCACAAATGATAGATTTTTAAAAAATCAAAAATAGTGATTTTGTGTTCATTGAAAATCAAGGACTGAATGAAAACAGCTTGAGCATCTAAGTTTCCAGTTCTCAGCACTAGACTTGCTGAGAAATCTGACCAAAACTTCTACATTGAGAGATATACAGTCCTTAATGCCATGGAAGTTCTATAGGAAGAACTGCATAAAAATCCATTTTCCTGCAGCTGCAGTTTTTACAGTTCTCTTTTCAGGCATGTATACAGGGCCGTCTTAATGCATGGGCCTGATGGGCACTTGCCTGTGGGCCCCATACTAATCTGTGTATGTTAACCCTTGGAAAATTGGAAAACTTCCAAAATTAAGAGTAGTTGTAGTTGTCGTAGCGGCCCCAGTACACTGCTTTGCCCAGGGCCCGTAATGCTGTTAAGACGGCCCTGCATGTACAGCCAACATTTAGCTGTAACGGAAAGCCAGCCAACTGGGCCAAATCCTGTGCAGTCATTTCCTGATCCCAGAACCCAAGACCAGCCACTGGATTCAGCACCTGAAAAACCCAAGCCTGGGAAAAAACAACTTTATTAAAAGGTTAGAAATAGGAAAGCAGGATCTAAAAATAGGGAAACAGGATCATATGATCTAAAAGGATAAAAACAAGGAAGCAGGGGAAAGTCGGGGGAAAGGGAATTGGACAGCAGCAACAAGAAAAGTCTCCATCAAGCAAGAACCCCACACCCAGGGCCTTGTTGGCCCACTCAGACAAGAAAACAACAAACAACGTCTAGCCTAGCCGAGACACAGGAACCTTCTAACAGCACGATGAGGGATGCCACAGCAGCCTTCACTACAGAGAACAGCAGCAGGTCACAACCTCTCCCCAGAGAGGAACAAAAGCTGCTCAACTCTTTGGTCTTTATTCCTCCACCAGCCCAGATCAGCTGATTGTGAGGCGATGGTTCAATTCCAGTCCTCAGGGTCCAGCCATTAACTCAGGTGCCCATCCAACCGGTCATTGCCTGTTACCTCTTGTGCCTTCGAGACCAATGTGGAGAATTCTCACCTCCTTCACAGAGGAGGGACAACATGTCTCCAAAGGCCTCGGCAGCCTGCTTTTCACCAGGGTGGCATTTCCAGGATTTTGGTAATTCCTAAATTAAGCCTTTCCCCACCATCTGGAGCCTAGAAAGCTGGTTCACACTATAGATACATTATTGAATATTCCATCCTAAATCTGACCTGCTCATTTCCTGCCCATAACAGTAGCTTCATAATGCAATGCTGTTGAGCACTTACTGTCTGATTGTTGTGAACAGATCTATTACTGAATTTTTCTGTTGTCACATGACTTGGATTCTTGATGTGATAACAGAACAGTCTTTGGATACTGCCCTCTCAGATCCATGTTATCTATTGCTTTATCAAAGCATTAGAGCGCTTTGATAAATTCAGTCACAGCTCCTTTGACATCACTAATATTGGGAACTCATATGACCATACATTCTCCTTCAGAAAGTAATGCAGCCAGTGTGTTCAGAAATCTTTTGTTTTCCTTACAAGAAATAGTTCTCTGTCCTTCAACTGTTTTTTGCTGAAAAATACACGTTTTGCATCCCATCTTTTGATTGCATTGTATGTCTCTAATATCTTTAACCAAGCAAAAACTTTTCTATATTTTTGACATGAGTTACATAATGATCAAAAGTATCCCATTCATACTCCACACTCATCCTCTTTTCTCCATGGAATTCCATGCAGAAGACTGCCTTCATCGTTTCACTAAACTTATCAATACTGCATTTCATGGACAAAGCCACTAAGAGAATTCTAGTTGTTTGGAACTTGGAATGTCACAATCTCATGAAATTATTCTGTTCATGTTGGAAGCATTCAGAATCTGCGCTTCCTAGTCTAGTTCTGAACCTTCATAATAGAATACACAAACCAAGTTGTGTTGACATGTACCTGCCATTGGCACAGCCTGAAAATTTATCTTCAATGAAAATTCTTAAAGACTTTGCAATCATAGTTCCTAATATTTTGTTTCACTTTTTCGTTTGAGTAACAGAGACAGTAGAAGCCACCATATCATATATTCCTTAATTAACAATTACCTAAAAATGGAGATCCATCCTGGTAGTAATTAACAGTTTTTTGTAGTAATGCTTTGTGTCATTCACTTTTTCTGACTTTATGATACCCTTTCACTGAAATATTAATGTCAGGAATGTTGGCTAAAACACCACCTATAAAGAACACTGCATTTGTCATACCACACCCCATTCTTCAATCTCCTACTCTTTCCAAACGTCTCATTAATTTTTTTTGTTTGTTTTATAACTTGATGGGAAGTCAACTCAGCCCAATATCTATGTGATTGCGTCATGACATGTAGTCCATCTGCAGGAAGCATTTCTGCAAGCTTGTTCATGTTTGGAAAATACAATCTACATCAAATAATTGCTGTGAAATTGCAAAGATGTAAAGAAAACCATAATCCTATTCATTGTGTCTTTAGAAGATGCTTACAGTGTTGATACATTGAAGTCAAAGTCTTGTAGTTCTAAACTTTTCTTGCCGTGAAAAAAATTGTTGGGCAGTGTTTGGTGGCCTACCGGTCAACTGTCACCTCCTTTGATGTTGCCTTGTTGAATGTATGTTTCAATACATTTCTCTCTTCTGAAGTCAAATATCTTTCAACAGAATAAGTCAGGAACTGTTACAATCCTGTACTTGCTCCAAACTCTCTTTCAGCGCTGTACCTTTTCTGATACAACCAAGACATTTGAAATGATTCATCATGGTACTAAAATTCTACATCTCGGAGCAACTCTTGCGAGATTATTTCAGTAGTTGCTATTTTCACGACTTTCCACCACAATGGTAATTAAATGTCAGCAGTGGCATAAATCATAATATTCCTTCATCAGGTATGAATGTTATAGCAGGCAAAATAGAACACCATTGTTTGAATAAAGGATTACCACTTGGAAACCATCAATACGGACACTTTCAGGACCCTGCCAATATAATTGTTTGCAGATTTTCCAATTATAAAATTGTTATTGGCACTCAGTTTCCTTCCAGATAAATTTCTCAGCTTTTTTAGTATTACTTAAGGCTGAAACATGAAAGTATAAAAATATATACCTTACTCAAGTTTTTCAAGGGAGGTAGCCCCAAACTTATACACTTACTCCATTGCCAATGCCTTTGTTATTATAATTTATGCTGAGGAACTTGCATAATTCTCATCACCCTCACACACACTTTCACCATGGATGTCATCTCTTTGCCCAACCTTTATAATGGGAAAAGTAACTGACTGAAACCATTGAGCTTCCCTGCTTTCTCAAATGGTATAGATTCATTTATGGAACACTGACTTTTTATCAAATTTGCAATTCACAGCAAAAGCATAAACATTCCAGTCCATTCCAGTCCCTCAAAAAAGAGTGGAAGTGCCTCTCCCTTCTCCCTACAGACCAGGGGCAGCTCAAACTTCCCCCAGGTTGCTATTTAAAGGCCAAATAACATGCACATTCACAGTTAACATCGTGGCCCCAAGCTACAGATTCCCTAAATTCCTGAAGAAAGCAAGAATGTAGTACACGGACCTCAATCAGTGGAGGGGGCTTGTTAATGTACAGTGTTTTCCTCATCCTTCCTTTAGGAGAATGTACATACTCTACTGACTCAGTTACAGAAAGAAATTTTACTGATTTGAAGAGCTTCTAACAAGACCTTTGGAGAAGTTTAGGAAAAAAGAAGCTATATTTGTATAGTGTACAACAACACTGATATGAAATCAGATATATAGATGTGAGCAACTGATGGCTGAATGGGGCGTTTTTATAAGACTCCAACTGTTATTCTTTTTTCAAGATGGAAATTTCCATGTTAGCCAGTCTATCCATACATAATCAACATGATCAATTATTTTAACGCCACTACTTAAGACTATTTTACCACACAGGACTGCTGTTACAGAAGTGCGTCAGAGTGCCCAAACAAGCTTTTGGACTGTCTTATGCTAGCCACGTATTTGCTAGCAATGATGCATTGACCAAACTGTTTTCTTAAATTATGGCAGAAATGACCTAAATAAAATGACTCAGTCCAGAGGCCTAGTTAGAAGGCTCTAATCTCCATCTGAACAAAATGCTTGTGTACTTGTTTCTTTCAATGACAATTTCCTGGCAAGTGAAGGAATATTATGTATATATATATAAAAAAATTAGACAAGGGTTATGTCCCTAAGTTTTCAAATACTGTGGAAGAAAAGGGGAAGCCAGTATCAAACTCAAGATATACCAAGAGAAAGAGAACCGATTTTGCACACTTCATAAACATGTTAGGTGCTGATGCTGGTAAAAGAATCCTTAATGAGAATTAAGCAAGTAACTACTTTGCATTGGCGATTCCTGCTTAATTTTTTTTTTTTCTAAAAGCAGCCAGGCACCTCCCTGATCGGGGTTGGGGCTATGGTGTGCGGCAAACTCTATTCTAACCATTTCCTCCCTATACTATGGACCCTATATTTAAAGACCCTGGAGTATTATCCACAGAGCAGAAGTGTGAGGACTTAAAACATGGACTTATCATCTCAATTAGACTATCTCACCCACAGCTGCTTTTACCAAAAAGCCAAACCAAACCAAGAGCAGAAAAAGAAAAACGGCCAGGGAGGGGCAAGTATTCATGTAACATATGGTCTGAGTTTCTGCTTGTTTTCCTCTATATTTCCTAGTTACTTTTACTGTAACCTGGTTACTTTTACTGTCACATACATTCAAGATGGCTACATTCCCATGACTCCGCCACAAGCATTCACAAGCTGTGTGAAGATGTTTCAAGAAACCTGGAAAATTCATGAATGTGATCAGTCTTGGTTACATGATAGATATTGATCTGGTCTCCCAATGAAATCAGTGTCACTTAACCATGAGCAATAAATTGGATGCCTTTTCTAAAATGTATAGCAAATATTTACCTTCCGTGCTTCTTTCACCATTTTCCTAATAGTTTCCTTTATTGTATAAGGTTGTATTCGTGGAGGATGGAAGAGCAGCTCAATATTTGTACTGCCAGAAATTCCATGCATTATGTAAGGCCAACCCAAGTCCAGATTAGGCGCCTCCACATCTGACTCCATGGGCCAATATGTTCCTGAGGAGGAGGCATCATCCACAGGGCTGTCAGAACCATACGCTGTGTTTTGGGGGATTTTCTGAATCGTGTTCAAGATGTAACTAATCTCAGCATCCGCTAGAAATTCTGGACATCTCTCCTTGGCAAGGAATTCTTGGTAAGCCTCTGCACCACCTTCAATTAGTGCATCAATGGCGAGCCTGTAACATTCTTTGTAGTGTGGCTCAAGGTAGTTGTCTGATCTGCATTCATCATGCAAAGATGACAGCAGAGATGAGGTTTCCATTTGCATAGTTATTAGTGGCAAGATCTCTTAAACTTCCATCCAGGTGCTCTGGAACGTACCTAAAACAAAGAGGAAAGTACTATGGTCAGAATTTGTGCAACAATCCAGTTATTTTCAGTACTAGTCAGGAATCGCATAAAGACAAAGCAAAACAAGAGTCCTCTTTATTGCTATCTGTTTAACATATAAGAAGACCTACCCTTTGGAACCTCTCTGCTAAATAAGCAGTGTACATACAGGGAAGCTATAGCAGATAGAAGTTGGGTGGTTCACAGCTTGCCCAGCCTCTCTCTCCCCCTCCCTCTCCCTCTCCCTCACCAGGGCATGGGGGGGGGAGGTGGCACTGTGGGGGGCAGCAGCTTGCTCACAGGTAGGCTCCCCAGCAGTCCTATTTTACAGCTTTTGCCTTTTTCCTCTCTTTGTTTCTTTTGTACTAGTAATCTATACAGGTGGTCCCCAGGTTATGGATGAGTTCTATTCCTGAGAATGTCCTTAAGACGAATTTGAAAGTCAGATCAGATGAGTAAGCCAAATGCTTGTCTTAGTACACACACAGACTTGTGCACACACATATATAAAACCTTTCTGTGCATATAAAACACTTAAGAAACACTTCCATAGCCACTAAAACATCCTAAACACAATACAGTATTGTAATAATGATAATACAGTAATAATAACTGAAGAAAGAGAGAGCATCTGTATGCATGTATGTAGGTATAAAGTATCGTAAAAAAAAGAAATAAAAGAAATATTTCTGAAAACAGTTTAGAACATTCCTGAGTAACACTAAGCCTAACATTAACCGATGATGATGGAGATGGGCCTGGTGCTGGAGAGTCAAGTTTGATTGTGCTGCTGGAGGTGGGGGAATATCACTGGAATGAAGCAGCCCTCAAAGGTTGTTTGCACAGCCATTTTCTTTTTCTCATCACAAATGGCCTTGTAGCGTTTGAGGGCCTGGTTACAGGGGCAAATTCTAATGACAAGCCAAAGGAAAACTACATGCCCTACGCAGGCACCAAAACACACTGGCTTGAGTATGCTCAAGCCAACACTGCAGAATGAAAATTCATGAATACTCTATCTCTAGGGAATAGATTATAGATGAATACTCTATCTCTGGGCTGCCACTGACATCTCTAAACATGTCACGTAGTTCCCTAGAGATATGTCACAGCCTTGGCAATCTCTAGAGAATCTCTAACAAAAGTGGGAATATTTCTAGGAACTATGCAGCCACTGATGATGTGTCACCAAACGTGCCACATAGTTCCCTAGAGATATTCAAAGAGGATGTATGACAGTCCATGCATTTGTAATTACAGGTTGTTTGTAACCAGAGGACTACCCAAATCTTTCCAAAACTCCTGAGGGGTGGGGTACCGGACACTTTGAGAATCACTGCAATGCAGCATGAAATCCAATTAATATAAACACAACACAGGAGAGCAATTACATAGAACGATAAAACAATAAAAGCAAGCAGCAAAAATGGCATAATAAAACCAGAAATTTTGCTAAAAACAATTACTAAATAAAAACATCTTTACCTGTTGCCAAAAACTGAGCAGTTAGGGTGCCAGTTGCACCCCTTTAGAAAGCGCATTCCAAAGGTGAGGTACAATAGCAGAAAAGACCCTTGCTTCGTTTGGAGGCCCTCCATCTTAGTGGTCTGGTAGGATATACAGCGAAAGGCTTTTCTTCAGGTCCCGAACCACTGAGGCTTTGTATGCTAGCATGAGCACCCTGAACTGGACCCAGGCCACAACAGGCGGCCAATGCAGCTGGCGGAAGGCCAGCATGCTGTGCCCCCCTAGGAGCAGTCCTCATTAACAGCCACTCTGCCCTGTTATGAATTAGCTGGAGTGCCTGGACTGTTTTCCTAGGCAGCCTCAAGTAGAGTGAAACGCAGCGATCCAGGCGAGAGGTTACCAGTGTGTGGATAAGTGAGGCTAGGCTCCCTTCGTCCAAGTAGGAACATAGCTCAAAAATCAGCCTAAGCAGATAGAAGGTGCTCCTGGCTACCAAGGTCACATGCGAGACAAGCGACAATTTGGGCCAAGGAGCACCCCCAAGCTACGGACCTTGTCCTTTACAGAAAGTGCAACCCTGTCCAAGACGGGTTGAACATTCCCAGTTGGACAGATGGACTGCCCACCAGCAGCGCCTCTGCCTTGCCTAGACTAGTTTCAGCTTATTGGCCTTCTTCACTCCATTACCAACCCAAGGTACCAGTTTAGAACAGGCACTGCCTCACCTGGACTGGATGACAGCAAAAGGAAGAGGAAGTACTCGTATCAGCAACATATCGGTGACCTCTTCCAGTGGTTTCATGTAGAAAGCATGGGAGACAGAATGGAGCCCTGAAGAACTCCATGCCACAAGGGCCGTGGTGCAGAGCAACAGTTCCCCAGCTCCTCCAACTAGGGACAGTCAGCCAGGTAGAAGCTGAGCAAAACACAGAGCAGTGCCACCAACTCCCAACCAGGTCAACCTCTCCAGAAGGATACCGTGGTCTCACTCCCATTGTCTCTCTCCTGGCAAAGATCATCCCAAAGATGACCAAGACAGTTTCTGCTCCAAAACCAGGCTTGAAGCCTGATGAAATGGATCCATATAATCCACTTCCTCCAAAAATGCTTGGAGCTGCCCAGCCACAACTCTTGCAAGCACCTTGCGAAGGAAGGGAACCTCGGCTATAGGTTGATAGTTTTTACATCCTCTGGATCCAGGTGTGGCTTTTTAGAAGTGGTGTAACCACCGCTGACTTTAGAGGGGTGGACACCACTCCCTTTCTCAGGGAGGCATTCACAACCTCCTGGATACAGGGATGGGTCCCCTCCTTTGTTCTCTCTCTCCCCCTCATTTAGCCAAGATGGGCAAGGGTCACGCAAACAGAGCATGAGACCAACCTGACAAAGCACCTTGTCCACATCCTTGAGCCACAATAGCTGAAACCCACCCAGTAAGATGGATGAGTTGTACTGGATGCCTCTTCCGATGGAACTGGGATAACTTGCTCCTCTAGCCAAGTGGCTAGCTGGTACCTGCCATTGCCATCCAACCCAAAGTGCCAAAAGGGCACTTGGGACACCTGGCACAGGCATCATCTTATGTTTTGGGCTCACCACAGCTGTTGATCCCTCTCCTGAGATTCCAGTGGGGATTCCCCTCCAAACACTCCCAGCAGTAATTAGAATGGTCAGCCCTTGGTCAGCCTTTTAAAACAATGCTTACACCAATTATGTAGTCATATATATACATTCATAACATATTATCCCCAAAATTTCATATTTGTGCAAATGCAGTATCTGGGATTTAAGGGGGGGAGGGTCACTTAAGAAGGAATTGGTGTGGGGGGGTGCCTGCTGGCCAAATCTATCATTTTCCAAGCTTCTACAGCGCCAGCTCAGGCTGTAGGTAATATTCTCCCCTTTGCAAAGCTTCTTGCAAAGTCAGACTGCACTTTGCAGAAAGCAATTGTTTTGGAATGTGCTCTTATTAGAAGATACAGTATGCTCATCCCAGAAAGCACTATATTGCATTGCAAAGCCCAATTTGATGGTAGGGCAGTAGGAAGCACTCTTCACTTTTCCAAAAATGGATAACCCACAGCTGCAAGGTATGCCTTAGAGAGACTAAAGAAGAGTGTTTGGGGGACACCCCCTCAATTTATCCTCATTGCAAGCAAGATCCTCCAGATTTTCTGGGGGAATAACAAGTTCCAAGTGTCTGCTCTACTTTGCCATTGAGTGCAAGTTCCTAACATCTCAGCCAAAACTTAGGGGAATCCCAGTCTATGCAGAAGTAGGCACGGTACTTTTCAAAGGAAACAGGAATAATTTTGGTGCTTTCACAGTGTCCCTCGAGATACCAGCTGGAGGAGTGAGGGTGAGATGGACCCGGAGCTCCAATGTCCCCAAGCCACACTGTGTGGCTTGTTCAGTGGTGCAGTTTGCCACGTTGTGGAAATCCGCCAGTTCTGTACAAGTCTATCAGAAGATTAACCTGTGGCCATACAAATAATTGGCAATGGCTGCAAGTAACAGGAGACGGCATTCATTTGACGGCGCTAGATAGCTAGTAGCAGAACACTCCAACTGGATGAAAATCCTCTGTGGAAAGCACTGCGATGCCAATAAGCCAAACTGAAATAGGCGCAGAAGCCCAGGAACTGCTACAGGCAAACGTGAAGTATGCGAGCTGAACCTGGCCTTTGACTTGTGTCAGTACAGGAATCCTCTGCTCAGCCCTTGTGCTTCCCAAACATACAATCGAAGAGAGTAATAGAATTTCTGATGGTTGTTACAAGCTTATTTTCTGACTGCCAAGGCACCTGAAGCACTGGTAATGAGTAATGCCATCTACTCGGTGGGTTTCGCAATGTCCTTCCCAAGGGCAAAAATGTACAAGGGAAAACCTGCAAGGCTTTATGAAAATATGAATAGAATATGTTAATGGAAAGCCTGTAGTATATCTTTTAATTAGCAATTGATAGGTTGCTAATTGATTAGCAATTGATATAATACTATTAAGTATTATGTATACAAATCAAATTAGTATAATTGTTTTATGAATTTAACTTTTTGTTATGATACTGTTTTATCTGGGGGGAAAGGAAAAACCATCAATATTAATTGCTGGTGGATTTGTTATAAGGGAAATTATTATTTACTTGATATCCATGTTAACGTCTTTACTGTAATAACCAAATATTAAGTCAAAATTGTAGTTACAAAATGGATACAAGTAATAATAATTATTGACTTTTTCTGCAATTTCCCGCAGTTAGTGCTACATTCAAGTTTTGTGTAAGGTCCTTTGGTATCTTTTTCTTTCTTTTTCCTGTTACTATTCCTTTTTTAATATAGAAAAAGCAAATAAATAAATAAAAGAAAATATGGACCGAGATCATTTATTGAAAGGAAAAGGTAGAAGAAGAGTTAGGAGCAAAAAGAAGAAAAAAAGCTATGATTCCCCCAGGAAGCCTGATTGGC